AAAAATTCATGACTGTGAAACTGGTCAGTTTTTCAAAAATGTTCCTTACACTTGGTCATTTTTAATATTATGGAGATAGGGAAAATGCTGCGTGAAGTGACCCCCTTAGACAATATACCAAAAATTTGGTTGGAAATTCTTTGACACACAAGAAATCAAATACATCAATTTGGCTTTTTTGCTATCGATGTCGTACGGCTGCGAATTGATATTCTTTTTCTATTTGTAACGATTACGGTTAGTGAGAACAGGCAACAATGGATTAACGACAATTTTATGGGTGGAACTAATTTTGAACAATTTTTCATATCTTACAAGCGAAAAATATTCAAATGATTTGGAGGTTGACTGCTTTGTTGTGAAAAACAAACATGGATCAATCAGCACTTGTTTGATTTGTCACGAAAGTGCTGTATTTTAAAAAAATCCAATAAACAGGAATTATTTAATGACATATTTCCTCTTTCAAGAAGTGATAAAAAAAATGGGCTTTATTGAATATTCTTTGTAACAGCAACAAAGTGTTTCGTCAGTGGTAATGTCACAGTAGTAACAAAGACATCCTAAGAAGTTTGTTATATGTATTATTGGTAATCATATGAAACCGTTTACTGATGCAAAACTGTGAGGGGGTGTTTCTTCAATTCTTTTAGTTTAGTGTTATTGACAAAAATAAAAAAAATATATAAAAAAAGTAATAATGAAAAAAAACTGAAATTTTCATATTATGATCAATTTTCTATATTTTAAATTTCCAATGTTATCTTGGTCTTAAATATTTCTACCCCTCTTCCCCCTTTTAACCTCATGTTACGGCCCAGCAAGAAAAACAGGTCGAGTACCCCCAGTAGCGCACACAGGAATTTTTCAAGGGGAGGGGGTCCGGGGTCGAAGGTTCACCATTCTTGTATCATGCTTCTTTTGATTTTGTCGATATTAGGGAACAAAACACAGTAAAAAACTAATTATTGAATAAATAATTAGCATTAATTAATAAAATTAATCATTAATAACAAATGCTTAATTAAATTTTGCGTACTATAAACTTAGAACTATAATCAATCGGGAAGAAATTAAGGGCTTTGATGGGGTCCGACCCCCAGGACCCCCCCCCTTGTGCGCGCCACTGAGTACCCCTGATCTAGATCGTAATAAACGTGCCCGTCTATTATCAAGTTGCGATGAATAGTTGTTAGTAGTTTTATTCCTAATTTAAAATTGAATTTTTGTATGTTGTATAAATTTATAGACCAAACTTTCACTCTACACGATATCATTTTTTTTGTGTTATAAAAAAAAATTAATTGCTTTAGTTTTATAGATACTCGTATGTAACATGGATTTTATTATTTTTTTACACGATTTTAGGGAAAATGTTTAGAAATGTTTCATTTTATACGATTTTTTAAAGTTGTGGAACATATCACCAAAATTACCATATGTAACATGTATTTTTTTTACACGATTTTTTTTTTTTGCACGGTTTTTAAAGGAACGTATCTACCGTATAAAAAAAAGAGCTGGGTCTACTTTTTTATATATTTATTATATTATGTACAATTTTATATATTTATTCTAATCCAACTGATATTGAATATTAAAAAAATTATCCATTGACATGATTTTTCAAAATCTGGATTCTGAATAGAATTCTGTAGCAGTGAAACTGTTACTCATTTCAAAGGCGCTATAAGATACACCAGAGAAGAGAATGTTATTGTTTACCCAGACCTTTTGTGATCCATATTCTCGGGGTGTTTAGCTAGATGACCGTGGGTGCCCGGATGATGAATCGGACTGGAATTGGAGGCAGCTGATGACACGTTAAACAAACGTTGTCAGGTGATGCATCTTGCTTCCAGCCGAGTTTTTAATCAGGGAAAGACGGATCGACAATCCTCTTCAAGGATCCACTTGACTCAATCATCCACTCGAAACAATCAACACTCACATCCGTGGCAATCAGCAATCCCATTTGCTGGTGCCTCATGCTTCACAGCTACTCTCACAGTTAATTATCATATGCAGCTATTTATTATACACGGTAAAATGTATTGTTTTAAAAATTAGTAAGTAAAAGCAATTTATAAGCATTTTTCACTAAATTTGATTAAATATTTGACAAAATTAGTGCTCCTCAAACTTTCAATATGTGCGAACCAATTTTTTTCAATTATAGTTTTTATCGCATCCTCACCCCCTGCAATAAAAAAAATTGAATGCAAAACTAATGTACTTCGACAATAAAGCTACAATACGATCTTGATTATAAAACGTTCAAATTATCAAGATAAGAATTTTGTTTACAACTTTGTATATAATAAGCTCACTGGAGTCAATAACAATTATTACATTTCTTAACTTAGTATTGATAAATTAATTGTTAAATACATTGTGCAGAACTGATATGTTTATAAATATATTATATCAGTGTTAGAGCATCGGACTCAGACCGGAGGGGCCTGGGTTCGATGCCCGATGCCACTAAATACCCTCTGAGTACGTGCTCGTTAAATCAGTGGATCTGAAAGTCTTGTGGGTGGTCGCAGCAGAAACCATGAGTGCAGAGGGCTGGAGAATATTTCCCTCCAGTTCCATACCTAAATTGTGCAGGTGGAGGTAGGGGGTGTTGCCATCTATCGTGTAGAAGTCCAACCTGTCTCAGGCTCTGGCAACTTACATTCCTTCCCCTCGGGAAGGACATGACAACAAGAACATCAGTATAAATGTGAATTTTACTTTTTACTATGTCAAAATGTATTTTATTTTGCTACCTTTCAGCAAATGACCGTAAATTCGGCGTATAATGCGCACTTTTAACAAAAAATAAGCGCGAAATTTACGAGTGCGCGTTATACGCCACGTATAAAAATCAGAGCTTTAAAAAAGATAAAAAAATTAATACATGTGGAAACATGTATAGGAACACAGTTTATTTAAAAGAAATGACATTTCTAATTAATTTAAAAGTATAGTAGTTTTTCTAAAACTTGGTACAATACCTTGAATAAATTACTTAGAAACATAAGATTCCATTTCAGATTCCTTCGTAAAAAAGGGGGTGCGCGTTATACGGTGAATGTACCTAAGAATTAAAAATTGTACCTTGAAAAGTAAAGCTGCGCGTTATGCGTCGGAATTTACGGTAATAATTTTATTTTCGATATGCTCGTGCCCCCCTCGTAGGATTAACACGCCCCCTAAAGGGGCGCACCCCACATTTTGAGGAACTCTGGTCTAAACTGAGTGTTATCTATACGAAATATGCATTTTCGAACATAAGTAATGGTTCTTAAAGATCTATGGAACGATTTGAGCTACCTCACAGAGATGAAATAAGTGAATACTTCACTGTCTCTCCAAATACTTTTTTTATTTTCAAATTAAGTTTTGAACGTGTTTATAGCGTTCAAAAAGAAGATATTTTATGTTTTATTATTGTAATTATAACCAAGGTATCTCAGGCTGAGGACATTAAGTTATTTTCGTAATCGAAACTATTTTTTTTTTCAATTTAAATTTCTGGGATGCACACACACACACACACGTGTCAGTATTACGTATTATTTTTGTTTAAAATTATTCATTACAATCAAGAAAATAGATTCCGTTGCTGAAAGGATGCTGTGATTAATATCAGCATAAGTAATTCATTCTTAAAAAATAAACTCGACGAATAATTTTTAATGTATTTTATTATATTTTTTTTTGTAATTGTGTACATTCAGAAAAGTCGCAGTAATTTAAGAAGTAATTCCAGAAGATTCGATACTTTGGTCATTTTTCGGGCCCTTATAAGTTTAATTGATATATATTACCATAATTCGCGAAGTTTTGTATACAAGAATAATATTTAAAATTTATATTATAAAACAAATGTTATGAATAAAGTGTAAAATTCAGCTATATTTGCTATCATACAGTAAGTTAAGTCTGCAAAATGTTCATGAAAGTTTTAATATTGTGAAATATAATCGGATACTAAGTAAATTCAATTTCTCTTTTTCTTGTATAGAGGCTTAGAGTTAAAAATATATACATCTTTAATTGAATGATCTGGAACCGATATTTTTGTTCATTCACAAGCACACCACGTGCTATTTATGTTTACTTTACGTATTGAATTAGCAAACAAGAAGGAATAACACAGATCTTAGATAAACCCTTCCAGTGTATAAATCAAAGATGCCGCTATCTTCAGCAAATCGAATTCTCGACACATTAAAAGAAGCTTGAGATTATGTTAAGATAATACACATCCGAGTAAAGAAAAACAATTTAAAGCATGGAAAGAGAAATTAGCGAAGTGTTGATAATATACCTTGTAAAAATCAAGATTAATTAAATGTGGAAAAAATAATAAACAAGTACTGCGTGTTTTGAAATAAACATTGACGAAGAGACATGACAAGAAAAGCGTAACGCCAGTCCATTGATTCAAAACCTGTTTACTGAATATTCTAATTATCATTCGATTCGACGAAGGAAATGTTATAGCATATAAGCATTCCTTCTTTATTTTGAAAATGCTTATATATTTATTTTAATATAAGGAATTGATTGAAATGACATCTGTTTTTTTTTCTCTTTTTTTCTTGCAAATTAAGACTGGGAAATAAAATAATTGACATCAATCTTATCGCAATTCTAGTATTCTTACGTATGAGGCCATTCTAAAATCTTCAGATATTTTTATGAAATAAGTAAGAACGATAGATAAATTAAGCATAACAAATAATATAAAAAAAAATAAAATCAATTCCTACTTAGGTCAACAAAGAAAAATTTTATTTTAGTTACTTTTCATTAAATAATTACTATTAATATAAATATGTATATACATAGGACATAATCACAATATTAAGTGACAAAATAAAAAGCGATTTCCTTCCTATATATGGACTATTTTTGTTCGTTTGTTACTATTTATTAGTTAATTAAATTTAATTATTTTGATAAAATAGTATAGTAAAAAGAAATCACATTCTCAGAAATTAGGCCATCCCAGGTGGGATTCAAACCCACGACCTTTGGATTAGAAGTCCAATGCTATCCATTGCACTGCAGAGATACAACGAGCGTTTTTATGGTGTTGAACTATAATTTTTGTTTGTTAATATATATTCATTAATGAAATTGAATTAATGAATTAATATTTGAAAAAAAAAATGTGTTAACATCAAGTGTCATTCACTACAAGTTTAAAAAAATGTATTTCAACTTGAGTGGATGAATAAAAAGTATTTTATGAACGACTGAAAATTTGATTATGTATATATATATATATATATATATATATATATATATATATAGTTAAAATTCTCTGCTAAAGAGAGATGAATATTCAATAATAAAAATTGAAAAAAAAATTTTAACTGCAAGACAACCAGACATAAGATTTTAGGAAGGATATATGAGAAATTAAAAATATAATAAAGTTTAAAATATAAAAATATATGGATGCTTACAGTATTTTAAACACTTCTGACTTAGAAAAGCTCTTACATATAAAATAATTTATAATAAAAGTGGGGTTAAACACGTTTTGTGGCCGGCCAACTCTATTTGTTAATACTGAACAAAGACCTACTGAAAATAATGGATAGAATATGTAAACTTGTGGGTTCTTTTCGGATCCGTGTTCGAATTGTGAAAAGAAAATAATTGCAATCAGGATTTTGTCCCTCTGTTTTATTGCACATCTTCCATGGGACATTTCATAAGAAAAAGAATATATTCAGATGATCCAAGATTACAAACCATCGTCCCGCCGTCTTTCCTTTATCCGACCACGTTTTTCACGCCACCGCTCGCCTCGTTCGGACCCTTCTCCCTTGTCGTTGCCAGGTCCTTCTCTCTATATCGTGTGTCTCGCTCGACCTGTTGCCAGGTTCAGGCAGTAGATCCTTACAGAATATCTAAATCCATTACAAGAGAAAAAGGTAATTTTCCTAGAAATTACATTCAAAAATGCAGAGCCCGCGCTAAATCTGAGTACAGTAAACAAGTTATTGCTAGATTCTGGACCCAAATGCAAATTCAAAGCTTGGGGATGGCTGAATAGTAGCACTAAGCAAAAGTATGAAACGAATAGAAATAAAAAATTAAAACTAGTGTTTACATACTACCATTACTTTAGGAACCCTAGGATTATATATGAATTTAAAAAAATAATAAGTAATATTTTATCTAATATTAGAATATGGAGGTAACTGTATCTAGGGAAAAATGATAATTTTATAATAAACTATTAATATTCTAAGGAATTTTAATCCTTACTATATTTAGAATTTCTTACTATTAATAACTATTTATAAAATGAATTGAGAGAGTATTTTTTAATTAAGCAATATTTAGTGAAATGTTTGTTGTTTTTTATAGTTTTGAAGTTGACTAGAAATTTATTGCGTCGCATATATAGATAATAGCAATATTTCTGAATATATATATATATATATATATATATATATATATATATATATATATATATATATATATATATATATATATATATATATATATATATATATATAGAAACTTGTACATTACTCTTCTAATGAAGTACTTTTAAATATATATCTATAGGAAAAGAGTGAAGTAATAGTAGGTATTGAGAAAAATAGTTTACATATCATTCATTATGATATTATATCATATGCATTATGCATCAAAACAGTAAACAAAAAGATTTCAATTTCCTTTTCTCGTACGAAATTACTGTGTAATTCATATAAGTGGGAAATAAATGAAATTGGTCCGCACAAAAATCTACTTCGCTACCGACTTACACAATACTCTAATTGTTTTATATATTCAATTACAAAACTCCTAACAAGAGTAATTTATATCGTGTTCTTCAATCATTCATCCATTGAAATCAATTTCACACTTGTATTTGTCCGAAGGAAAGTCATTTATCAAACACAAAAAGTACGCCGGCGCATTAAAAAAAAGTTAGGGAGTAGAGGGAGATCTTTTATACTTTTCGTGTTTTTTTTTATTATTTTTTTTTATTTTTCAGGCCAATAGCTCGGAACTTGTTAGTCGTGTCGGCAAGTGAGCTAAATGATAACTATTACCATTCAAATTTTTGTTACTAGTTCCTATTACTAAACAACCATGAAAGAATAGATCTCAAAACGCATTGAATATCAGTAACCTCCGGGTGGTTTCTTTTTTCCCGCTTCAAACATCTTTTTTTATTTGCTTGTTTTGTTTTTATGGTGTAATAATAGTTTCTCTTGATCATTTGTATTTCTCCCAAACACAATGAGAGAAAGGAAACGAGAAAAAGAAAAAAACACTCATTATTTTTCGCAACTCGCCCTGCTACCAACTCAACTCGTGATTCCCAACTGGAGCAAGTTATATGTAGGTGAATTTTGCGCAATCTGTTTATTACTTTTTTTAATATATATTTATTAATTTTCTCTTCTCATGGAAGCTACTTCTTAAATGGAAAATAACCGCCTTCTGTGCATAGTTTATGAAGTGAACTGCCACCGATATATAATAAGCTATAAATCGTGTCTGCGCAGACGCGTAATTGCGTATAACCGACCCCAGCTGGTGCTTATTTGGGGTGTTCCTGGACCGATAATTTGCAGGTATCGACCGATTCGACGATTGTTTCATTCAAAATCCAATCAAATCTGAGTCATAAATTATTTCTCGACAAGAGTGGTGGGTTGAATTGACCCTCCAACGAGAGTTCTTTAACACGGTGTTGTTGTCAGGAGAATACATCCATTTCCCACTGCACACGCTTCGGTTTTCTTATATACTTCTTTTGCTTTTTCCATTTCTCACCCTGTCTTCAAGCAAAGTGTTTATTTCCCCAGAAGGTCCAACCATCTGCTTTCAATTTGACTGTTGCTGCTGTTACGGGATATACGAGCTGTGCTTCGTTTGCATTACGGATTTATTGAATACGCAAATACCTCGACTTACGTGATTTTCAAATCTTGTCGATTCGTCTTTTGTCTAAGAAATTTTTTTTTGTTGTGAAATTGATAACGCGATTGAAGAAGTTTTTGATAATTAATTTAGAAAGGGATAGTGAGAGAGAGAGAGAGAGACAAATGGCTTTTAGATTCCCACAATGCGGAGCTGGCAATGGATGAGCTCATAGAAATGCAAGAGCAAGACATTGGGAAAACTTGAATCTATAGATCCAGTTCACAATCAGAAGATCGAATGATGGTGTTGGGAATTTGGCAGAAGGTCTTAATTTAACCCGTTCAGGACCATGATCACGCTTTTCTCTCTCCAGGGCCCACGGTATCATATATGCGATTGCGCTTTTCCTCTTCAGAGGCCAATGGTCAATCCCCCTAAGCTTCAGGGCCCCCAAAATGTGTAAGAAAAAATCGTAAAATTCTGAGACGCTACCAAACATGGCCTCTAAGAAATTTTGATATAAGGCGCACACAGGAGTTTTTCAAGGGGGCGGAGTCGAAAGTTCACCGTTCTTGTATCATGCTCCTTTTGATATTGTCAATTTTCGAGAACAAAACACAGTAAAAAACTAATTATTGAATAAATAATTAGAATTAATTAATAAAATTAATCATTATAATAACAAATACTTAATTAAATTTTTCGTACTATATACTTAGAATTATAATCAATCGGAAAAAAACAAGTGCTTTGGGGGGTCCGGACCCCCAGAACCCCCTTGTGTGCGCCACTGAGGCCCACTCAAGACTAGCCATGCCAGTAAACATAACTAAAACTTTCTAATTTTAAAAAAAAGATTTGTGTTTCCAAATTTATACAGAGAGACATAGTTAAAAGCTAAACATACACTGAAAAATAATCTAAAAACTAATTTCTTAAAAGTTATAAGAGAATAACATTTTATGTATAAACAACTGTTAGGATACGAAATTTAAAAAACTATTATATTCGTATTTATTGATATATAATACATATTTCACGATATCAGATCAAATACAAACGAATAATCAAAGCTGGTTTATTTATACAGTTTTGTGATCTCTTCAGCTTTTTCGGGACCATGTATATAAAGTTTTAAATTAATCAAATTTTTCAATAATTAAATAATGTAATTTTATAATTAATTTAAAACCTAAAAAAACTTTCTAATGTTTTCGACTTTGAAAACCACATGTTTCAGCTCATTCACATTCTTAAAATTTCGAAAAGGTATCGGGAAACGTTAAGTTTTAATTTAAAAAGTTTACAGACACAATATAGATATGAAATACGATTCCTGATCTTCTCGAGACTGAATGTATGGTTTTTGAAATTTAAAGTACGGTTTTAATATTCTCTTCAATTATTAAGTGGAAGAGAATGTTTTGAAAACAAATACTTGTATTCAGAAAAAAAAAACATGAAATAACTCATCAAATCGATATACGCAACAATTTGTTTGAAATATTCGTATTTATTGTTTTCACAAATGATTTGAAGATTGAATAAAGTTCCTCCTTTTTAAGCGCATCCTGATTATTAAAATCCAAATGGGTTAATTTCATCTAACGTCATAGTCATATGATAACTGCAATAACGTTTCATTCAATTCATAAATTCATGTGACGTCATAGTCACGTGCCAAACATAACGTTTCTCCAATGCAATTTAATGTTGCCATCTTTTATTTTTAAAGAAACTTTCTTTTAAAAAAAAGTGTACATAATTACGCACCTACGTAAAGCAAATACACTTAAATTAACAGTGCTCATCAGTTAAAGTAACAGTAACATTATCTCTGCTTCTTCTATCTCTAATTATGATTACATTCTGTCTCCATTTTTTCTCCCTCGTCCAGAGAGGAATGCCATCAATATTATTCAACTTAGCGATAAAAGCACGGATGATTTCTCTGTTATTTGCTATACTGATGGAAGAGTTGGGGTTCCGCTTTTGTTGTCTTCAGGAGTGGTGTTGAAATCAAGCACTTTCAATTTAGAATTCAGCTGAACCTTTATGTTTAAACTTCTTCATTAAATGGACCACAGAACTAAATAGTGTTATCTGATATGCTCATCTGTACCGACTCTCTTTCCACCTTAGATTCTCTTAAATGTATTTCTTCATCTAACA